GGATGGCAGAACCCACTTAGAGCAGGCAGGTTTTGGGGCTTCAGGGGTGCCTCTCTCTGAATTGAGGTGCCTTATAACAGTATCAGTTAACAGACAAAAGTGCTTAACATTGTGACCTACATATTTATAATAGTCAGGATCACTACAATATTGCAACAGAACATGTGAACATCGAGGAAGCCAGAGACCTTGGGAGACTGGGGACAATTTATGTAGACAGAGTGTAAACAATTTCTCAGTACACCCCTCACCAGAGAGTAGCACCCCATCCAGTCACCTCCCCAATCTTCTTAGACCTGCCATCCAGCAAATCCAGAGTCCCTGTGAAACAGCCCACCCAGATGAGGCCTAAGCATTCCCAACAGCCAGTCCTGTCAGAGGGAGACAGAACTCCCAGGGCTCTGGCCTTGACCTGCCAAACCCTGACTTCACCGCAGGCCATCAGACCAGCCGTCCCCAGGGCCCACGGAAGGGCTTGGACCTGGCGGCCAGGCAAGTAGTTGCTCACTGAAGCCACAGCTGGTCCCCCGCTGGCTGCAAACCCGCCTTGGAGCAGAGAACAAGGAGGATCCCCTCAAAAAGCCTAACGCCGGCCTGGGCCTGCCTGGCTGTGCAGGGGCTCAGGCGCTGGGAAGCCACAGCGGTGACTCCCTGCCTGGGGGGCACGGAGGCCCTGCCGGGAATGACCCCAGGGTGCAGCCCAGCCCTTCTGGCTCCCAGCTGGCCCCTAGCAGTCACTAACACGGCCCTGCCTGGTCTGCTCCCCACTCTGGGGAGTCCCCTCACCCGCTCACTCTCTATGCCCAGCCCTGAACCCCAAAACCAACTTTCACAAATAAAACAGACACCCCCTTCCTCCCAGGGACTCTGTCCCCACATAAGCGCCCCTGTCTCTCGCACTGCACAGGGTGTCTCCTGGACTCTGAGGACAAGGGGCCTCGCTGTCCCTGAGGAGAGAAGGGCGGCGCTGAGGAGAGAAGGGCGGCGGTCCCCCTCCAACCCCCCCCCCAACCCCCACCTCCAGTCTCCTCAGGACACGCCGACCTCCCTGACAGCCTCGGCAGGACCTCGCCCATCGCCCTTCAGGGCCCTGTGTCCACTCCGGACCTCCGCCGACGGGCAGGCGGCTACTTGCGGACAGGCGTCGTCGCCTCCTCAGCGGGTCCTCTCAGTCTGGACTTCCCGTCTCCTCAGCTGGTTCCCGGTGACTCACGAAGGACGCCGCGGAGTTGCTGCCGTCACAGTGGGCGCGGCACGCGGAGGGGTATGTCAGGCTCGCGGGATTTGGCAAGCGGTGGCGGGGGGCGGGGCCGGAGGGGGAACGTAATGACGCGGTTCCGCGTGCTTGTGCGTGGATGCACTGACGAGACTGCGCGCGTGCGGAAGCATGCCTGCGCATGCGTGTGTGGCGGAGACACCCAGGTGCAGAGGCGGGGAGCTCAGGGGCTGACGAAGGCGGACGCGGCGCTTCTCCTCACCGAGCACCTTCCCACTGGTCTCGCGCTCCCCTCCGCCCTCCGCCTCCCATCTGGGTCCGGGGCGTCCCCAGTGGTGCTGTGGGAGCCCGCGCCGCGCCGGGGCTGAGCGGCAGAAACGGGGGGCGCGGGAGGCCGGCAGGGGTCGGGGCGCTCAGGGCCGTAACGGGACCCGGTGACGGGGGGCCCCACACCCCGCGCGCTCCGCCCGTCCGGGCCTAGAGGAGGCCGCCGTCGAACGCTCCGGTGTCCCTGAGGCTCCGCCGGGTCCCAGCGCCGCTGGCTTGCGGGCGGATCCTGAGGGGTCCGGGGGGCGGGCGCCGGCGAGAGCGTGTGCAAGGGAGGGCGGACACTCGCGCGGAGAGACGGGGCACGGGCGCCTCTTGGAGCACTGTGAGCCTCGGCCCGGCCAGACCGAACCCCCGCACCCCGCAGCCCCGCACACCCACGGACCCCCACGTGCCCGGTCGAGAAAAATTGCAAGAGGAAAAGCTGAATCTGGACTCTCATTCCTGACAGCATCCATCCCCACAGCACTACTACAGGGAGCTGTGAATGGAGACTATGTGCCATCAAAGAAGTGGTCATTCAGTGTTTGGGAACTAACTCTGAATGCAAATAAAAATCTTCATGAATACATTCCTGACGGGATTTACAGAAACAAATGATTGGAAACAATCTAGAAGAAAGCCCCAATTATCCATTTCCTAGATACATAAAATGTTACAGTTTTCAATGAAGACTGTGGAATATAAAACTCCAGAAAGTTATTTCAGCATGGGCAGAAAATATGCATGAGGTAATCTGTGTCCAACAGAATGGAAAGAGGACTTGGTGTTAAGTGGAATACTATACAGGAGTGAAGACACCAGGCTCTTGCTACCACCAATCCTATGGATCGTCTTACCACATAGAGATGAATCAGTGTCTAGATATAAAGTGAACATAATGTGATTTCTTTACATTCTAAATACCACAAAATTAAAATCATGTATTATACATTCTGTAATATGTAACTGTAAGAACTTGTCGTGAAGAACAAGGTAAATAGTTACTGTAAAGGATGGTGGTGAGTGGCCACCTACTGATATTGCAAATGGGGCTTGAGGACCCTACTTGGCTCTAACACAACATAGGGCTGAACTTCCCTTCTCAGGTTCCCTGCTTGGCTGCTCATTCATGGAATCAAACAATTGTTGATAGTAAGTAGAATGCAAGAACAGGAAGGGTCACTAGTATTTTGGTTCTTTAAATCCCAAAAGAATTTTTTAAAAGATTTATCAATTTATGCATACAAGAACTGGGTACAGGCCAGAGGTGGAGGTGTGTGTGTGGCGGGGGGAGTTCATTGCTGGAGAGGATTTCCCAGAGACAGAATGCGGCATAGAACAGATATACTGAAATACACTGCTGAGGGGAGCAGCAGGTGGGTCAGGAGAAGTCTGCAGTGCCATGTGTGTCACCTCCCAGGTGGAAATGAACTCAAATGGAAGCGGCTGCAGCCTATGTAGTGCTGCACTTTAACCTGATGTGCCACCAGAGAGGGCCCAGTTTTCATCATTTTATAATAGAAATAATATTCAAATAATGATCCTTGTGTGTGCTGACATTCTCCTGGGAAAGACAGGAAAAATGAAAGACAGCAAGGCAGGGAAATACAAGTTGTCTAGCCACCAGAATCACAACGCTATGTAAATATAGGCAAAGTCTCTACTGGACAGTGTTCCATTGCTCTGCAAAATTTCTATGGTTCCCTGAAGGTGTAAACTTCCATGTTACCCCCGTAGGGTGTCTCTCTGTGTGGCACCCAATGCAGCAAGAGCTCCTCTAGCAGAAAGCAAATGTACAGTAGTGACAGCCACAGGGCTTCTCTCCTCAGAGTTCTCTGCTATCCAGTGACCTCTGATTTGCAGTAAAAACCTTTACTACATTTGGGATATTCACATATATAGTTGGCCATTGAGTTATCTATAGTGGTGGACTGAGGACTTCTCTCCAAGAAATGTTTCCCTCCACTTCAGACATTATTAAGAAGTTACCCTGTGTGAATTCGCTGATCTGCACTCAAAACTGACTTCTGATACTAGGGTGTTGGAAAAAACATGAGCAATTTTGCGACAGAGAATGAGGGAAGAAATGAGTCATGAATTTCCCTACAAGCTAATAGTTTTTCTCCACGTGACAGTCAAAGGATTTCTCTGATGTGACAATTCTCTGTTCAGTGAGTCATGATTTCCAGGAAGAGTGTTCCTACATCCTTGATGTTCACAGAGTTTATGTGCTGAGTAACATCTAGAATGGATACCAAGGCCTGTTTTCCAGGAAGTTTTACTACAGTCTTGTCATTCATAAGATTTCCTCCATGGTACATTATGTGAGGGTTGCTCAAGGCTGACTTATAGAATGTTTTCCAACACTATTGAAATTCATAGGGTTTCTCTCTTATGTGAGTCCTCTTATGTCGGGTAAGACCTGACTTCCGGGAAAAAGCCTTACTACACTCTTCACATTCCTAGGGCTTCTCTCCAGTGTGAATTCTCTGATGTACAGTGAGATGTGACATACGGGAAAAAGTTTGCCCACATGCTTGTCATTCATATGCCTTCAAGACTGTGTGAGTCCTCGTGTGAGGCCTGAGCTACTGTAGAAAGCCTTCTTACACTCCTGACATTCATAGGGGTTCTCTCCAGTGTGAATCCTCTTGTGTATCTTGAGGTATGATTTCCAGGAGAATGTTTTCCCACACTCCTGACATTCATAGAGTTTCTCTCCAGTGTGAATTCTCTTGTGTATATTGATGCATAATTTTGAGAATGTTTTCCC